TGATTTGTTTCTGTCGCGTGACTTTGCATACTTTTCTGCAGAGCTTACAGACTTTGACGAAGTCCCAGATAACTCTAATAAACGACCAACATCCACGGTCAGTTCAGATTCAATGCGAGAAAAGACGCGATTACAATTTTAGTATACAAATACTGCACTGAAGTGATCTGAAAAATTTCTAACTATGGCCGTTCGCTGTTCAAGTAATGTAATTCTTCTTGCCATCGAATATTTCAGAAAGACAAAATATAAAACTTTTTTCAACTCAAAACACCTACTCACCTTCGTTTGGCTTGAAAAAGCTAGTAATTTTCTTCATTTCGTCTTGATAAAACTGATAAAAAAAACTCTGCCGGAGCTGGAAGTACAAAACACGCTGCCGAACGAAGCGAAGGGGTGGCCAAGGCATGGCGTTTGATCAAGGGGTAAGTCGGCCCCAGGGCACAATTACCGCGAAAAGCACAGGAGCCCCACAAAATGCCTGGCGTTTGATATTAAAGAAAATACAGAGAATATAGCGGAATATAGACGGAAAAAAACTTGTTTCAAGTCTTTTTTTTTATTTTAATTATTTTTCTTTTTAGCGCAAAAAGTGGGGGAGCGGGCGCAAAAAAGTGGTGGGGCCGCGGCCCTACCAGCCCCTCCCCCTCCGCGGTCCCTGAAAAAGGATATTAGCATTGTACTCTTCAGCACACAAGAAAAAAAAATTTTCAAAAAGCGTCCTAACCAGCATTATTAAGACTAGGAAATTTGCTTAAAAGTATATAAATTATATTATAGGGAGTGAAAAGGGCTTTATCGTAGGAAGCTAAAAGGTTCTACATTTCGTTCATACAGCTGAATAATAATGTTAATCAATGAAAAAAGAAGCGGGTTACTGAGACTGAGGAAGCACGTCTAGAGCGTGGAGCGAAGTAAAACTCCATGGGTCGATTATTTAAATGAAGTCTAACTTAGACCGCGGTTAAGAAATCTTTGGACCTCCAGATCTCTTTCTTAGTGGGCTATTTTAAGAAGATAACTACTTTTCTAGTCAACGCTTTATGCCTTCATGAAACTTTTCACGTGTTGACATAAAAGCGTTCGGCAAACTGAAAATGGCTTAGAACGGAGTTTTGTCAAACACTGGCTTAACTCCGTTTAAATAACTGGCCCTAGGTCACCAACCGAGTTGAAACCTTGACGTCTCAGATAATAAAATTATCTACTCATAAGGCAGTTGGGATACTCACTTCGAGCTAGGGCTTTAGTGCATTCGTACTTAAGAAGGTGAAATCAGTACAAAGTTAAGTCACGGATTCCTTTGTTTTATTTCTTTCAGTTTTAGCCTGAGACTACGATAAATGATCGCACGGCACGGTTTCTCCGGAATGAACTTGTTACAGAAACTGCAAGGGGATTAAGGAAATTGCAAGGAAATTATTTTATAGTTAAAATGTCTGCTTTAGACTCTACCTCGATAAAACATGTGAATATGTGTCCGTCATGTTTTCTTTCTCTTTTTCTTTTTTTTTCTTTGGAGAGCCCACTTAATAAGGACATCCGGGTGATGCGGACACTATGACATGTCCCCTTAGTGTCCGTATCAACCGGGTTCCACTGTATATATCTCATTATAAAAGAACTAAGATAGTACGCGCGCTCTGATTGGCCGAGAGGCGTGTTTTCATGAGAGTATGTAAACATGGTTGTGACGTCAAGATGTTTTGCTTTTCGCACACTAAGCACGAATTTGAAAAAGGTTTTCAGTTGAAACCCTAGACAAGTTTACTTTATTTACCCATTTCCTCGTCGACTTCGTCTCGGGTTTGCACTAACTCTAACTCTCTCTCGAATTCTACCAAACCCTCTCGTGTTTATATGAGGCTATGCAAACACGGAAAACGTTTTCTATTGCTTAAATCTATCTCAGGCTGCATTTTAAGAAATCATTGGACTCTCAGACCTGTTTCTATGAGTGGATTATTTAGAGAAAATAACTGAAGTGCTTTTCTAGCATACGCTACATGCGATAAACAATTCTTAGATATTATCGTTAAGCGAGTTCGTTCTAGAGAGCTGTCCGTCCTGTAAAGAGGTCTGTTTGGAGGCAGCTGACTGTCGTTTATAACAAGAAATTTACTAATTCAATGGTGTTATCCTTGGGAGTTTGAATGTGAAAGCTTTTCCACATATGCACCTGCTCCTAGAAAAGTTTCTCTGCACATATCTGTCATCCACACTTCCATCGCATCGTCTTTTCCTGGCGTTATAATCTTAGTTTCTAACTAAGGTTCGACGTCGGCTCTTCGTCTTTGAGATCATCTCCTGCCTAAAAAAGGAAAAAAGCAAAACAACTATTCATGGTAGAAAATAGACGACATCACCATTAACCATCCGTCATTGCTAAATGATCGGCACCCCAGTTCTTCCCAATTCAATTTTGACAAATGGGATGTGTCAGGGAAAGACAACTAGCCCCGCCGCCAAAAGTACTTAAAATAAAACCTACCTCTGCTTTCTTATCTTTGACGGTGGACTTGACGCTAGTGGACTGACTAAAATATTTGCTGTCCATAAATACACTCGGTATGTTAGGGCCAAAAAATATCTTTAAGTTTGAGGTAACAGCATTTAATTTCATCAGCTCGAGATACTCGGGTGTAAGTTTAAGCTGAAAAAGAGGTACATAACATAATGAGTAAGCTCAGTTACAGACATCAGTTACTGTCACACTACTGAGAAACAAAACATCTAACGTATAACGTATGGATGATTCTAGTCCTAGAGGAGGCTTGATGTTACATGGGTAACATAAGGTATTAATGGTAGAAAAGGAAAGAGACTTATTGCTTGTTGTTTTCGAATTTGCAACATTTTCTGGTACAAAGGTCATCTGTGTACTGCATTTCACTAAAAACGTCAATTTCGCTGGACTCACAAATTTGGCAACTACACCGTTCTCGGGGGAAAAAAGCTGCTAATGAAGGTACTGTGCGAGATGTAACCTTGTAATTGGGCTTCCTGTGGCACAGCCCAATCAAAAAAAGGTTTTCGTCGTCTGCACTACAAAAAGGCAAAATGGCGGACTGATGTACAAGAAAGCGTTGCGAGTCCCGCTTTGCTATTGGACTGGTTATTTGACGTTTGATGGAAGGAGTGAATCATTTCAGATAAAAATAATCTAGCAATAAGATTTGGAACGCAGAAAACGCCACCAGTTCTTCCTGTAGCTTTTGTTTACAACAAAATCCGTTTAGCTTGCATATCTACCTTCTCCCGGGAACCCAACTGCAGTTTTCGAAAGTTTGTGTTTTCGTAGAGAAGCTACCCGCATTAGTCTGGCATTCATGCCAGGAACTGCTTTGCACCAGGGTCGTCGAAAAAAAAACTTTGTTGTTTATACGTATACCTTGTTTGCCTCTGCAAGTTTTACTGCGGTGTAGTATTCTGCATCAGCCCGAGATTTCATCCTTGCAAGATGAGCACCATCTGTTAAACGATATGAAAAAATCATAAATAAATCAAGACAAGGCAAAGAAAATGTTAAAAGAGTGCCTTAAAATCATTAAATTTTTAAATAATTTACCTGATTGATTGGTCCTCAGTGTAGCGTTTTTTAAAGTAATGAAATAAAACGGAAACTGTTTTTGCATTTGATCTTTGATGACGGTGGGCGAGGAATGTACGACTACAATGTGTAATTTTCTCTATATGAAATGATCTAGAGATTAAAGAGATTCAGAAAGTGGCAAATTGAACCACGTGAACAAGTTTCCTCTAACTTGCCATCTACAGTTAATTACAGTAGGTTTCATTGGGCATTTTTTTGCCTGCTCATCTCCTAAGTAGAGAAAATGCCAACATGAATCTCGCGTTTGCCGTTTGCTGTGAACACAATTCTAAATCTCTTTCAACTTGTTTACGCGAGCATCTCTGTTTGAATTGTCCGACGCTATGACGTCAAACCAAGAACACAACTCACCTTCAATTTCCGACATTTTTCTCAGACTTTCTTTCTCCATAATTTTCTGATCAAATTGAATTTTTGACACCTGAGCTGCCTTCTCCGCCTCTAAAATGAGAGGAAAAAAATATATATGGAAAATTCGAATTTTTGTCTCAGTGAAAGTTATAGCCCGCACCGCAGTCATTTCCCGGGGCTGAGGAAGTGAAAAGGCCAGAAAAAACCTTTCCGCACTTTACATGCACCTTATCGAAAGGAAACAAATGCGACAAAGTTATTGTTACTTAAACTAAACGTTTTAAACGGAAACCAGTTAACGTGAAAAATCTGGCTCCAATTTGGTCCAGCATTTGATAGTGTATTTGAGAATGATTTAGAAGGCCAGAGTTTAAACCCAAATTTACTACAGTTTGTTTAAAAAATTTAGTAGGTAAGGACTCCTACCAATAACCGCCTTCTTTCGCTCCGTCTCCGCTTCCTTCTCAACCACTTTTTGCTTCTGCTGGGCAATCAACAGTTTTGTTTTTTCCCCTTCCCTTTGAAGAAAGAAAAATATTTTCCAGCTGGTACATGTAATTCCTACATTACTTTTTACCAGCATTGAGGTACAGGTGGCTTCATCTGTTCATATCCAAAATAATAGCTGAACAGCAAAACATTACTCATCCCTCATCCTACTAAAACATACAGAATTTGATGAACTGTCATTCAAATTCAGTCTTGGAAGAAACAAACCACTTTTGCTGTACAATTTGCCACGTACAACGTTTTTGTATATTTTGACCTTTTAAGTCTTGTTACAGGTCAGAAACAAATTTTTTAACCCAGGCTGATTCTCAATTCCCCTTTACTTCCTAACAGGCCCTAATTCATGAATATCTAAGGCTAGGAGACAAAGCAAATTGAGAAATTACAGTCATTACATTCCCATGCATTTATTGTACAGTGTGAGAGATTCTTTCAGTGACTTTGTTACAAATAGTTATGGTGAGTTCTGGGACTCATCTTGTGAAAACTCATGAGTCCTAGTCCAGAACCACTGAGTCCCAGTTCAAAAATAACGAGTCCCTGGTCTATTGTAACAGCTTGTAACCACACAGTTAATCTGAGAACAGACTCCAAAACTCTGTATTGATGGATTTCACAGTGATGTCACCAAATTGTAAAGTCAAAATAGCGAGGTTTTACGAATAAACAAAAAGTAAATCTTTGTACAAGTTTCCACTCCCGTGGCATGTTTCAATTCGAAAATACAGCAGTTTAAACGAGTTTTTACAGTGCGTGACACAGAAATATATAAATATATTTTTTACAGTGCGTGACACCAAAATAGGAAGGCTGTCTCATAGAAAAAAAGTCTCTCCTCTTGATTTTCAGCCATACAACCATTTCAAGTATTAGAAGGTATGTTTATGCACACATATGCTAGTTCTCGTGTGAAAAGAAAGAGCTTTTATAGAAAAAGTGAACTCCAAATGTTTTTATTTCCAGCGGCCATATTGGTGCACCCAAACGGAACACCAATATGGCGTCTCCATACAAGGCTCTACAAAGGTGTTTGAAAAGTTTCGGCAAATAACTCAGAAACTGTCGGCCACAAAGACCTGAGACATGGACAAATTGTTCATGTATAGTCTTTTATAACATGTCATTTTCTTGGCTCCTTCCACTGGACGGTTTCCAATTTATTTTGTTTGTTGCGTGACCGTGAAGACGATCTATTATTGCAGTTTTTAATACTAAAACAAAAATATACTCCTTCTATATAATTGTAAAGCACAACAAAGACTAAAAGAAATAAGCGTCATTTAACAACAGCCACAAGAACAACCACAAAAATTGAACAAAAAGGATATTCTACAAAAAACATCTTTAGATCAATCAATCTTTGCATCCTATGGGATACATGACACAAATTAGTTTGTGTCTTTGGGGATTTTTATGCACCAGTGACACAGGATGCAAAGGTAACAACAAAATCACTGTTCTTTTGGACACCTGAAAAGACATCTTTAATTTAAATAACTTTATTTCATCGCATGAAGATGCCATCAGATCACACTTACATTGCTTCATAGTTACGCCTGATACTCTCAGGTATCTTGGGTTTGGTCACTCTCACAGCCTGTGTGCAAGTCATAAACCATACTATTAAAAACTGAACCATTGGATAATGAAATTCTAGAGCTTGGATGGGCTTATTTATCATGGTATATTTACCAATTAATGAATGAGGCTGAGTAGGATATGAAGAATTAAGCAGATCGAGGAGGGTGTTATCCACAGAGGATGAAGGCCGAGGTGGATAACACCCTCCGAGATCTGCTTAATTCTTCATATCCTACCAAAGCCGAATTCATTAATTGCTTTGTTATTCATTCAAAATAATTCCTAGTTTAAAAACATAGCTAAAACATGTTTACCTGCATCAATGTTAAGTTTATCTTCGATAGCGTAAATTTAGGTTTGTCCAGCTCTGCAAAATAATATTCTCCAAATAGCAGATGTTGCCCTCCGAATTGTCTTCTTGCTGTTTTTGCTATGTTTTCAGCAATTATTTTGCCTAGTTCCAGCAGTAGTTCTTACTCTTGAAACGAGTGAAGTATCTGCCATTTTAGTTTCACAACAAAAACAACTCAACCTCATCCCCAGGTCTTCTCAGTTAACGGTGCATTAACCTGTAGAAGGCTGCATTTTTGACGTCATTTCCTCGTTAAACACAAAATTCTCCCAAATTTTGTCATCAGTAACTGGTTATGGTGAATTATGCGTGTGCTTTTAGCCAATCAGAATTGGGGAAATATTTTGAATGAATAATAAGAGCCATCATACCATGCTCTGCAAATACGGTAACTGTGCGTGTCTGCTCAAAATCAAAAACAAGCTGATAATAGGTTGTTTTTACAAATAAAGTCGGGAAGAATTCTCAATATTTTGTGGGCATTTTAATGAAACAATTACTCCACTCACCCTTGTTGGATATGAGATGATTATAGCCAACTCACCATCTCATATCCAATGTGCACTTGTGGAATAATTGTTAATTACAATTCACAGCACATACATGTAAGTATTTTTGACATCAGAGGAATGTCAAAATGGACAGTAAAATATATTAAAAACTGGCATCTCACCTGAACTCTCAGGCCTGGAGACATTACAAGCAAATCTAACTGAAGGGCAGTCTTCAGGTTTTCATCAATTTGATCTTTTAAACGACATATAACATGCAAAAGTTAGCTATGATGCTACAGTTCACTAAACAAAAAACACAGTAAAACTGTTTAATGTAGAAAAATGAGAAGAAAATTTGTGGTGATGTTTCAAACCTGAATCATGTCTTAATCAAGTCAAAAATGAAATTAACAATCGGAATGACAAAAATAAGTTTTCTCAATTTATTACTTAAATTATTATTACAACAATAATAATGATTCAATTTTGTCTCCAACACTTTTGGAGTTCTCAAGATTTTTTTACCACAAAACATCAGTTGAAAACATTTATCATTAAAACTTATATGTACAATTCTAGATGCATTAATCCTGAAAATACCCACCAAATAGGTCAATGTAGACTTCTTGAAGGGTGTGTGCACTGCAAAACTATAAAATGGAAGAATACACACACAGTGCAAGTCAAGCACTTTTCAAATGGATAAACACACTGGAAGACATCACAAAGGACTATACCAAGTGTTGATACCTGTATACATCTTACAATATCAGTGTAGGGTTACTTCCATTAGAGAAGCAGAAATATACTAAAATTGCAGAAAAATTAAATGATAAAACTATCTAGATACAACAAAAATGTAAAATGCAACAAAGGTGCCAAGAAATTGTTTGGTTTGTTTTGCTCCGCAAGTTTGACAATAAAAACACTTTTCCTTTATCTTCTGGTTCATATTCCTGCATTTATTTTCTACTTCTTTCTCTTTCACAGAGATGGCAGGGTTTTTTTTTTCACATTCAGTTTGTACTCATTTATCAGTGTGGTTCAAGGCAGTTAAAGGATCAATCTAATATTCTTTTGCTTTATAATAATTTATTACTGTAAATAAATATATGTTACAGGTGAAAATGAAATTCAGGTCAAATTTTTTTAACCTGGGTTGATTCTCTATTTCCCTTGTCTCCTAAGTAAAACCATTATTATTCAATTAGGGCTAGGAGACAAAAGGCCTGTTTACACGGCCGAAAAAATTGGAATGGCTGGGATAAAAAACGAACGGCTCCGACAAAATTTGACGTGTAAACGGTACTTGACCTGTTCCAGTTTTATCCGTTCCCTTCCTTAAAAGGTCCATGGGCGGCTATGGACCCCTTTCGGAATGGAACCGATAAAAAACGGTTCCTTATCCACATTTTTGTTTTCTTTTCAACGTGTAAAAGCTCACTCTTTTTTCAGTACCGTTCTGTTATGTTTTTTCTGAGCTATGGTGCTCCACGTCAGTTGTTTAGCCTGCGTGCCCACATTACTGAATTTGTATGTGTAAATAGGAGATTTGGTCTGGAACCGGTACTTGTTTCTAACCGAGCCGTTCCTTCTCTTTTAACGTGTAAACAGGCCTACAGGAAATTGAGAATTAACCCAGGTTAAAAAAATTTAACCTGAATTTCATCTTGACTTGTAACATTTTTGTTATTTATAAGCTGTCCATGAATCTGCTTTTAAGATGATTTATTGAGTCAAAAAGGTAAAATGAAATTATTTAACCCACAGTGGTAAAAGTCCACAACAATAATATGGCAAGGCATTTTAAAAAACATACCTGATTAAGTTCATGATGTATCTTGTTAAAAATCAAAGCTTTATCATAGTCAGCTGTGTAATTTTTCACAATGTCAAACACTGCAAAAGGGATGGAAAACTGCTAAGAAATCAGGGTTGTCAGAAAGTTTTGAATTAGACAGCTGAGTTGTCAAAGTAAGCGGCCAGTCCAGGAATATTTTATTTGAAAAACACCATCTGTAAAGGAATGTCAAGCAGAGTACCCAGCCAAGTAAGCGGTGATTTTGGCTGGCAGCTGGCTACTTTTGACAACACTGGCAGCCCATGTAAACCCAATCATTTCAGAGAGCCAACTAAGTATTATTAGATTTCAATATTGAATGCAAGGCTCTCAAACCAGATGGTCCTTGTTTGTTTGTTTGTTTGTATCTGATGATCATTTTGCATTGCTTTATAATGTTAAATATACACTGTATTTTCTGTACAAGACATGCTGCTTTCAAAGTTTACAAAGTATTGTACTGCAAGTGCAATTAGTAGTGGTTTACGTGACTGTAAACCAATAACAAAGACTTCAGCCATCATTGTATTTTTGGTTTCATATATTTATTTCTTGTTTGATTTTGAATAATTAATATTTGTGAGGACAAGTGCTAACATTGTCTATTTATGTATTTTGAATCAGACTTGACTAGAAAAAAACTGGGCTAAGCGTAGCTAACTTTGTCACCCTTCTCAAAAGTGAACCTTTGAATATTAGCATATTTTTAATAATAATTCTAGTCAAAAGGTGCTGCTCAACTTTGAAGAAGAAAGCAATGGTTAAGTATGGACAAGTGGTATTATTTCATCAGATTTACCTTACCTGAAGAAGAATCCAAAATATTAACAACTTCAATGCGATCAAAGTAAATAACAACACCACCACTGGAGAGAAAGGAAAGGTTGTGAAGTATTAAGATGGAATCCATCAGGAAATTGAGTAATTTTAATTTTCAGTGAACAAAAACCTTGTACCAGAATAATTTAAAGTATATTGCATTCTTTTTTAAATTTTTCAAGGGCTATAGATGTAATTAGTTAGATCTGTAATAACATCAAAGAAAATTTCTCATTGGAGCTTGAGAAAAATGTCAGTTTCACAAAATGACATCTTACACATGAAATTTTCAGAATTTAACTGTGTTTTTACAATTCTTTTGAAATTTGACATTCATTTTCTCGGGCCCCCATGATAATTTGTCTTTGGTGTTATTCCAAATAACTAATTAATAACATATATAGCCCTTGAAAAGTGTAAACAAAGCATACAATATTGTTTAAATATGCTGGGTACAAGGAAAATGCTCACTTTTGCGGTGTATTCCATCTTAATACAACTTATAAAGCATAGTACCAACAGCAGGATTCATAGCCCGCCTCAAACCAACTCATTTCATGCACTTGATTCTACGTGTATTTCTGCTGCAAGTTACAGTCATTCTCAGGTTAAACGTTAATTTCCTTTGTCTTCTACAAATAATTAGAGTCAGGATACACAGAAAATTCTACATCAAAGTAGGTTAGACACTGTTCAACCTGAAAAAAAAAGATTTTACCCACATTACCCACCTTGTTCCACATGGAACATTCTTAACTTCATCAGTTTGTAATGTAGTTTGAACTGATCGGTATGATGTGAGAAATGGAATCATGATATGATAACCTGGCCCACTTGTTGAAGAAAGCAAGGCACCACCCTGGAATGACACAAGACATAAAATAATAAGTCTTTTAAGTGTTGCTGTATTTCCCATGTCATACATGTAGCTCTTAAAACATTGTTTTTATGTTCAGATTTGTATCTAGTTGCCCTACAGGAAAATCTATCTCACTTACAGCTAACCCTGAACAATTGGAAATAAGTTTTTTGTAGCCCTGTACACCATAAAATCTTATACAGTCAAACCTCTACTAATGGCCACCTCAACAAAATGGCCACCTCTTTACAACGGCCATTTTTTGGCGGACAGTCCATACATTCACTCTTGTTTCAACCTCTCCACAATGGCCACTTTCTTCTGTCCCCAAGGTGGCCGTTGCAGAGAGGTTCAACTGTACCATAAAGTGAGTTAAAGTAAACATCTTGATCTTTCTTCTTCAATACATGTAGTTTCTGTGACTTCTCATTCAATGACTGAAACTGTTGCAAGGCACAACATTAACTTTTGTTGTACCACATGCAGTAAGTCATTAAAAACCAGAACGCACATTAGTTTACATATGCTGTCTTTTACCTTTTAAATACTATGCAAATCTTTGGCTACAAAGTAAAAGTCTTGAAAATATTTGATCTGTACATTCATCACATCCACCCACAGAAAGATAGGATTTCATCAGAAATGGGCAAATTTGTGCTGTGAACAAGTTTTAATTACAGCTCCATTTAAAGGACATAATATTATTGTTTTACTCACAGGGCTCCGGTTGTTCAAAAGGTGGATAGCGCTATCCACTGGATAAATCACTATTTCCACTGGATAATGCAGTTGGTCTTCATACTATTATATCTGCTGGAAAGCGATTTAACTGGTGGATAGCGCTATCCAATTTTTGAACGAGGCAAGTTGTTTAATTACTTACCCTATAGTAAACTCCTACATGCCCTTCAAGTAAAAGATGAAAGTGTTAGTTTTTTTTTGCAGAAATTGAATATTAGTACACAAATAACAAATAAATAGCTTTCTCTGCACACCGGAATATGCAGTGATCCAAACATTTTATTTTTGTGCAACTCTAGATCTGTGTTTATTAATTCTAAAATTAACTTGTTAGAGGCAGCTCTTTCTGACGGTGTACTTTTCCTTGTATACAAGTATGATAGACTTTAATTTTTTGAAATGTTCTTTCTTTCTTTTACATTACTTATGTATTCATTCCCTTTTTGTGTGTGGCTGCCCAAAATCAATGAAGTTTATAAAAAATAGTAACTTTTAGCAAGCACTATTAGTGGATTCCTTTGATGAAAATGCATCTGTTGGATTTAGCACCATAGCATATCAAAATTATGCAAATTATCCTACTGTTGGTTAATCCACCTGTTTAAACACTTCATTTTCACCTGTCCATAATGGAGACCCTCTTGGGGGGAGGGGGGAGTCTTTCCCAGGTCTGAATTTCAAATAATAGGCCATGTATTGTCCCCACCTCCCCCCGCCCCTGACAGTATTTGACTCATCTTTATCTCATCTGTCACCATTTCATCTAGACTTAGGTCGCTGTTTCAAGGCCTATATCAGAGCCCCTGAAATGGGCCATTACATTTAATACCCATACCTCCCGAGGGACCATGGAATTATTCCAGGGTAAGGTAAAAAAAAAAATGAGGATTACTTTATATGGTAGAGTAAAAAAAAAAATGAAATTCTTTGGGGGTGAAGCTTTAATTTTCACGAAATTCTTCGGGGTAGGACCCATATTTTATGGTAGTCTTCAAGGGCGGATGCAATTTTATTTAATCTTCAGGCGTTAGAAGAAAACGTAGTTCCTTAACCAGGGGGCCAAGAATATATTAAATGCAATAGCCCATGCCAGTTTTTAGTTTAGGTCGGGCTAGCTAACATCTTGCAAGAAATAAAGTTAAACTTGTAAATCACTCAAAACATTTCTGAAACCTAAGAAAACCTTAAGAAAAAGGCTTAAGTTAATACCAGAATCTCTTTTAAGAGAAAAACACAGCTTTCAGTCAGACCTTTCGTTTTTTAAGCTTGCGTGAATTGTGGCAACGCTTTACAAGTTTATCGTTGCAGAATTATTTCTTGCAAAATAAAAGCAAACAAATCCAATTACATCCGAACAAGTGCTCCAATGTTTATTCTTACCTTCATCTATTTTGTGAATGGAGAAATTGAACATCACTGCCGTTAGTGCAAAAAGCACACCTAAAACCGCGGCGGCCGCCATTTTGAAAGGAAGCAAAGGGAAGAATCCAGAATGCAATGCGGGCAAAAAACAGGTGTCTAACATAGCCTTAGTCCCCTCACGACCTTAAAAGAGGCTTAATTTTTCTGTCGATTTTAACAGAATACTCCTCCATTTGTTTTTGAGTTTCTATTATATGTCATTATCTGGAAAGATTGATTTACCCCTCTCAGGGGAATAGAAAATTGGCAAAAGATGAAAAGGCAGCCAAGTTGACGAACTGGAGAGTCACGTGACCTCGATTGGAACAATCGTTCAATCATTGAAGAGAATAACATAGTAGAGTGGACTTCAAACATGGCGGGCACTTCTTCGCAGGTCTCAAAACAACCTTTCCACGAGACTTACGAACTGAAAGAAGAGTTGGGAAAGTACGTATTTTTTGAAGCCGACTGAAATTTTTTTTTCGATGTCTGTTTAACTTTTGTTTGCCGTATATTTCTCTCAGAGGTGCTTTCAGCATCGTTCGCCGGTGTGTGCATAAGGAGACAAAAGTTGAGTATGCCGCGAAAATTATCAACACCAGGAAATTGTCGTCCAGAGGTAAGAATCGAGTTTTCAGCTGTTTTTGATACTGATAAATTATTGCTCCCATATTGGACTCTTAGTTTCAAGTTTAAATCCTTACGTTTCAGAATTATTCTTGTGATTTTCATCTTTAATTGAGGAAAAAAAAGAAAATTCAATTGATTTACTGTGAAAGAGTCGTTTGAAAAGCTGCAGACTTGCACAGGTTGTAGGAAAAAATATTTTTATTAACTACAGAGCGAAAACAGAATTTTTGGTGGAGATCGAACAACCATTTCGATGACACTTTTGTTTTACAAGGGCAACGGTATTCTTTCCGCAGACACAAGTTCGCCTTTTTATACCCAAGGATAGTAGAAAAATATTACGATTGAAAATTTAAGCCACAGAGGAAATTGTTTATATTATTTGGCCGTAGCTGCAAAGAAGGGTTATTTTGTAAAAAAATATATTAAGTTTAACGTTTTGATAAACATACAAGCTTACAGTAAAAAAATATGATATTATGATAAAATTCAAAACAGATGTCTACGATCTAGCGTTTGACCTGAGTGAATTTAATATTTCAACGCCAAAGCCCTCAAACATATAATTCGCAGTGGGCGAGAAGACAACTTGTTTTCCACCTGTGTAGATCGTAAATTGTGATATTTGCCCGGATTAATTTATCTAACATTTTCCTCCTTGTTCATTTAGATCTACAAAAGCTCGAAAGAGAAGCTAGGATATGCCGACTACTCAAACACGCAAACATAGGTGGGTCGATATAGAATTTACTTTATTGAAAGTAATAAAGCTTAAATATCACGCGAGTAAAACGAAAGGCCCTAAAATTTTGATCCCAGTGTTATGGAAATGCTCTCGCTGTGTAATCGTTAATTTTTTCCTGACGAATGTTTGACCGAAAAGTCATATTATTTTTTGGATTGTACGCCAAGAGAAATAGTGAGCTACGTTTTATGACCAAAGAAATCAAGCGACGGGTTGTCATATTCTTGTCTGACGCTGTGCGCCTTGAAGCGATGACTAGCTCAACAACTGTACAAACAGAACGAGAACTACATTGACTTGAGCGTGGGCTAAAAACCCCGGCTCACTAATCGATGTAATCATGTGCTTTTCCTCGTTAAGCCAGTTTAGTAAAGGTAGACAAATGACTCATTAATTGGCATTTGTTCGCGGCCAGATAGCTTGACTTTGATGAAACCTGTTTACTGGGCGGTATATTCGGTAGTGTTGTTATTCGCCTTCAAATTGCCTGCGTAGGCGGATGATGTGGAAGTTCATCTTATTTCTTTTATGTAGTTTGTCACACAAAATCGAAGTACTTGTATCTCATGAACACATAACCGGTGTACGAGAGGCTAACAACTCATCGTTTGCTTTTGTGGTTAATTGTCGTGAGGGAGGGCCATATCAATTTAAACAAGGTAGCCCAGCAGATCTTTTCATGAGATAAAGATTCTGAATTTGGTTTGCGGAGGTGACGGATTTGATAACTTTCAATTTTAAAAATTTTATATCAAGAACGTTTATGTAAATCTTAATCGACAGTCTCTATGTTTATGTAGCACATATGAATTTGAATATCGGTCCAAAAAGTACATAGAAACCTGAGATCCTTTTGAGAACCGAAGCGATAATTCAAACCGTGAAGCATTTTTTTTCCATTTCTTGTCAGACTTAAGTTGCTCTTAATAATATATTACTTTTGGTGAAATTGTTAGAAAGGGAAAATGTACATGAGTCAGTAATGCAGACTTGACACGTGTCGATTTCGCGGGAAAGTCTTTGACACGCGATTTATGCTTTTGAGTGGAATCTCAAGATTCCTTTTAACCTAAGCAATTGATCATTGCCGTACGTGAGCTGGAAATTTTAAAACAGTTGGAGGGCGAGTGGCTTGAAGCTCACAAAACTGTTTATACTCCCGCAAAACACGAAAAACACACTTCTTGCTGTGAAATTTGCATTTTTATTTGATTGTTGAAAGCCAATTTCTTTATAGCTAAGGTGGTGTATTTTATTCCTTCTAAATCGACTTATTACTTGTATAAATTGATGCAGTCCGAAAAAAGTTGTAGACAATAGTGTATGAAATTGGATGTCATATAACAACATAAAGCAACAACCCCAGGTTACAAGTCTCACGGATGCTGTTAGGCCTTCTTCAAGAGGTCGAGACAAATTATCACACTCATTAACACCATGATGAGAGAAATTTGCACAAAGCATGTCCAAGACGATTCTGTGTAACTGTCAATAACAACAGCCCTTTTTTAATATAAATAAAAAGCCTAAATAATTAATTTCAGTAACAGAAATGCTTCACAGTAGATCATTGACACCTAAACTCTATTACTATCAATAAAACTTGTTTCAAAATAATCAAAGGTGTGAATCAACTCATCAGTGGTCATTTAAGTTCATATTTATTCTATTTTTATTTTCTTTTTCTTTTGTATACTGTGGTAATTGTTTTCAAAGGGTGCCTGTGTAGAAATGCAAATCTTTGAAGCACTTTGTTCACCTTTTGTGTTGTTATAATTTTTTCTAACGTGGAAGATGAAAATGACATTGAAATTTACTTTCTTTTGTTTTATTCTTTTTATGAACTTTGATAGGTACATCAGGAATGATAGAGTTTTTTTTTTACAAAATTCAAATGCATTATAATGAGCTCATAACAGGACGTTATTATATTCTCGTATAGCATTTCGTTCTCAAGTCAAACTTTAAAATCAGTGTTTTTCTCCTCTTGCAATAATTCATTTGTTATAGCTAGAACTCAGTGCTGAGACTAATATTCTAAAATCCATGAGTTGAAGACACAAATTTGGAGGTACATAACATAAACTTCATGTGACTGTATGCTTTATCTGATCATTTCTCAGCTTTCACCTTTATTTGTCTATTTAAGTTAAAAATATACACCAAAGAGACGTGAGATTGAAATTTCTTTTTATATTTAATGTCCTTATGAGTTAAATGCAGTTAATGTCAATGTGTTAAATGCACTTGTTTTTGGACTAAATAAAAACAGGGAAGTATCTAATAATAACCTGGTTTGTGTGCTTATGAAATTATTATTTTATTAATATGTCTTGGTAACCTTTCACCCTTCTTCACTACATGCATGTACTCATAAAAGTGTTAAGAGAGATTGCAGATGTGTCCATTAACCCTTACACAAAAGACAAATTCTGTACGTATTGAGTGTTTTCTACAATAGAAATGTTTATGTTGCTGTAGAGAAGTTGTTTGTAGATATCATTTTACTTTTTTCTAGAGAAGGTTTGATTTTAACAACAAATGCAGACATTTCCTCTGGAAATAAATTCTTGGTGCAGATTATTGTCTGTGGAATGCTTGAAAACCTGCCCAATGTACTGTCACAGTTAGCTTTTTTATCCAAAACAATCAGTAATCATATTTACTCTTATATAATTAATTTTTTTTAAGTGACCATGCCCTGTCCTATCGATATTTAAAATGTTGGGATAAAGGTACAGTATTGTAGCTGTGAGACATATATGGGCACGAGGCAACATCAGAGAGTTCGTTTAGTGACCTTAGTCTGACAATGAGATAGAAATTGACTTGGTACAACTAAGAGACTTCCCTGACGACCAAGTTCTTCATCTTTTTTAAAATAAACTGTCAATAAACAGTTATAGTTTTGCTCTGGTACATCTTCATGTTCTAATATTATTTACTGTTTTGTTGGAAAATTAATTTACCATGACTTGCTGAAGCTAATGAAAATTTTATAGGTACCCAGCTAAGGGGGTCCTAATCGAATAATTACCGCAGTATCTCATTTTCTTTAACTGAGTCCATTTTATCATGATATAATTTCTTGACATATTTTGAATTAATATACTATTTAGCATGTGTGAAAACAGCTGACATTTCATGACACCACCACTGGTTTCCCCACAAAATGAAGTCAGAGAAACAAGGACATAAATTCCTTACTGTTGACTTGACACTACCCAGATTCTGAGTAGTGACTTGTCGTCAGTATGGAATTTCTGCGCTTGCTTCTCTGACATCATTTTGTGCAGAAACCAGTTATGGTGTCATGAAATGTCAGCTGTTTTCTCAGGCTATAGAATACATGGCCCAGAATATTTTTCTGTACAGCCTTGTTGCACTCAGAGTTCATAATTTGAACATAATCATGTCTCAGGTCTACATTCCTGGCACTTTATGGTAAATAAGTTGTCACCTGCATGCTCATGCATACATCTATATTAATATGAAATGTAGATCTTCATTCTATTAGCATCAGTTGGCCAATCCTGTTAATTATAATTATTTAATTTACACATGCACGTACTATATAATATGAATCATGGTTTTATCTTTGTCTTGCAGTTAGACTGCATGCAAGCATTGCTGAAGAAGGATACCACTACCTTGTGTTTGATTTGTAAGTTTATAAAAATGTGCATTTTATGCCTGCTTGAAGTTAAGGGGGTGTGCATGCAGAAAAAGGCCCTGATTTTTAAATTCCTGATGTAGTATGAAATTCTTCCTCTGATTCAAAATCCTCAAGATCAGATAACACTAAATGAGAAGGAGATCTAGCATATTATCAAAATCACTTGAATTGATGAGCTTTATTCCAGGTACCCAGTTTTAACTATTACTTACTTGCAGCCTGCGAGTATAAGCTGTCCATTTTGAGCATCAATCAAAGTGAGTTGTGAGAGAATATATGTGAGCATGCAAGCACTAAAGCCACAAGGGGCAGCTTTCCCCACCCCTCACACTCTATTCGTCTTTCGTATGCCTCACTCTCCTGCATGACTTCTTATGACATATTCTTCAAATGGAGAGCTTGCATGCTCACAGCTAGGTTATGTACGAAATCATCCTTCTCCAACAGATTCTATGTACCCCAGGCAAAGAAGGAACTGTCTGTAAGCCCAGGACACAAGTCCTAAAGACCAAAATTACATCCTCAATCCAGCAGTGACTTGATCTTTTCAAAATTCATGTATTAGCACTGAGCTAAAGTTTGTATTAATTTTTCAGACAAAAATTAAAAATTGATAACAGACAGACATGTACATCTGATGCACTTTCTTATAAATTACATGACACACCTTTTATTTTCCTGCAGAGTAACAGGAGGTGAATTATTTGAGGATATTGTTGCAAGGGAATACTATAGTGAAGCTGATGCAAGGTAAGATGAGTTTTTATATGTTTGCAATTAGGCCATTTAACATCTAGTATACAGGGTAGGTCCCAGCGGCTAGTGGAACAAAAAGGGGTTATAACACTCTGCACTTGGTAAATCACAGTGCAGGTTTTGAGCAAGGAGTTTGTACCTAGTTGGAAGCCGTCTTAACTGTCAGACCAGTAGTTCTAAAACCAAAGTGTTTTTTTATCATTTTTTAACTGGGTTTCCACTTTTTGTACAAAAACTGGAGAGTTTTTTTAACAGTAAACATTGCTATAAATAGTGATATAACATTGTGCCAATAGGATCTTATTTTAATACTTTTTAATTAGTTCTCTGACTTGAACTATTTTTGTTTTTTTGTACCTCTTTATTCTTTAAGTCACTGCATTCAGCAAATACTGGAAAGTGTGTATCACTGTCACCAAAATAATGTTGTTCATAGAGACTTGAAGGTACTAAATTAAAATAATTTGGATATAGTGTTGATAACTTTTTTTTGTCAATAATTAACTATTGGTGTATTGAATAATCTGTAACTGGCGCAGTTTGTATAACCAGTGAATACTACTTCAGCCTCCACCTCTGTATCACTTCTTAGTTGTCATTGGGACTTTATTTTCAAAAGATATCAGACATCTGCATTTTAGCACCAAAAAAATCCATATTGATGACATAAATCTGTTCAGAAGCTCAAATTGGTTGACAGCCTGCAATAATAATATAATTATATTGTACTATTTCAGGTATTGCTTGTGAACGATAGACAAAAGACATAAGTTTAACCATGATACTGAAAACGTTTTGGTTACCGTATTCAAGTTTCTTGCCATCTTACAAACCTACAAAAGGACTTAGGAAAGAAAAAATTGTTAAAAAATATTACATGATTTTTACATGTTATTTTTCCCTTAGCCAGAGAACTTACTTCTAGCGAGTAAAGAAAAAGGTGCTGTAGTTAAGTTAGCAGATTTTGGGTTGGCTATTGAAGTAGATGGTGATAAGCTTGGCTGGTATGGTAAGTGATCAGATACTTGTCTACTTTAAAATCTGTATCAAAATCCATGTAATTATCCGCTTATGTTAAATTACTGTGCAAGTTGGCTCACAATGTACGGTTTTCTTTTCATATTTTTTACCATTAACGCTTTTACACCCAGACCTTCTCGGTAAATAAATTGCTGTTGCTATGGTAATCATTTACTGTAGCAACTGTAAAGCTATTAAATTACCCTTGATATTACGTTTAAATCATAACTTAAAAATAACTCCTGTCTTTCTCGAGAAGAATTCCTTGGGACCCAGTCAATATGTCTGCCTGTATTACCATAGTGTCCTTTTTCCACTTACAGTCAGGGTTGTCATTAAGAGCCGGGGGCCGGGGATTTTCCCCGGCTACTAAGAGAGTGGCCCCCGGCTACTTTTATTGGAAAATAGAAGAAAAATAGAACCAAAAGAAATCCCTAGCCATTTGATTCCCCGCCTACTTGTTGTATTTACCCGGCAACTTGAAATCTTAGTGACAACCCTGTACAGTAGATTAGAAGTTAATTTTCTCTTTTTCCTCAAAGAAAATAAACACATGGCAAATTGGTGAGAAAGCTACTAACAGGTGTTGGCTCTTTGCGATTGTGATGCTCCTTCATGCCTCCACTTTCTTTTAGAAGAAGGAACAAGGACGGTAGAGTTTTCCTGTAAGCGGTAATCATAGGTGTGTTTGTTGCTGTCCCATTATTTCTGTCTATTTTTTTCTTAGGTTTTGCTGGTACACCTGGATACCTGTCCCCAGAGGTCTTAAAAAAGGAGCCTTATGGTAGACCAGTTGACTTATGGGCCTGTGGTAAATATTAACTATAATACTTCTATTTTGATGTTTGCCTCTTACAAAGAACAGTGCAGTATACACTGTAGACATTTCGTTGAAACTGATAAAAGCACTTATCTACATGTCACTTTTTTTTTTTTGTAGGAGTCATCTTGTACATTTTACTTGTTGGTTATCCTCCATTCTGGGATGAGGATCAGCACAAGTTGTATTCTCAGATAAAAGCTGGTGCATACGACGTGAGTATTACATCAAGCGTTACAAGGCTATAATTACGTGGTATTAGCCTAGAACGCTACTGGTAGTCACAGCTTTATCCATAAAACGCAAGGTTTTCTATTAGAGGTGGTTATGGCCCCAAATTAAGGTACCAAACCTCATATAATCCCTATTTATCTTCAATGCGNATGTAGACAGAACATCTTTGTGAAAACGCCCTAAACTTTGTTGTTTTGGCATTATGTTCAGTAATTTTTAATACAGTTAGTACTCATAAGTCACTGACCTCTTCGGAGAAATTTTTCCAAAGTACCATTAACAGAAACAGAGAAATCCCACAATATGCGTGGTTAGACTGTAAATGTTACGCGAGCTGTTAAAAAATGGTCCCATTTTGAGCAATACTTTTCATATTTCAATTTTATTTTGGTCTTACAGCCAGAAAAAAAATATTCAATGAAAAGCTGTTTATAAACTTTAACTTCTTGCCAAATATCGATGCGATCTGAGTTTTAATAAGTTCATAAGAGCCAAACGATGTGAGATTCTTAGCCGTGTACACTAGTAGCGTGCGCCAGGCCTCGTCACTTTGGTTTCCTCGCTCGATGGGTTCACCACATTTCCTTTGGGACTTAGCACCTCATTTACGCGCGGGTGCGTCCTCCTTAGACTAATGTGTGGGGTTTTTTTTCTTGTTTTATTTCCAACACTAAACCTTTGTCTATACTATACAGTTTGCTGCAAAATGCAATTTGTAGTACACATGACGGTATAAGCATCATAGAACACATAGTTTATCGTTTACTAAGCAAGGCAGAGTCGTGGAATTTTCCTCTCTTTCCTTGTTAGTACCCCTCACCGGAGTGGGACACCGTCACGGATGAGGCGAAGGTAAGCATAATTAACCTTCAAACTTTCAAGGTTACGTTAGAACCAATGCAAAAATGGCTGCTGGATTAATTTTCTTTTGTTTAAATTAAAATTAGCCAGACTAGACTCCTTCTTCGGTACAATATTCAAAAGAATACATTAACTTAAGCAAGGCTAGTCAGGGTAATTGTAACTTAAACAAAAGATTATTAATCCAGTAGCCATTTTCACAATGGGTCTATACATCGTGTAAAATAATGAAAAACCTATCGCATCATGTAAACGCCCTGTTAGAAGAGTGGCATGCAACTTCACAGGATTTTTTCTATGGTAACATTATAGAATTTTGTCCACTGACTGGAAAGTTAGTACTACCTGATCGCGTGGCGACCCGTCCTGAGGTGCTCTCAAAACCGTTATTAAATTTTAAAGTAAAGCTAGCTGATTATCCCTCAAGCTTATGTACCTATAGCTTTAGCATCCCGAGCCGTCCATTGTCGTAACATGGCTGGTTTCACGATAATAGTTTTCATTAATTCGTAGTCTTTCTAGTATCTTTTCCCCAGTTTCATATTATGGAAAGCGAAAATTAGCTAGTATGGCATTAGTACAAGCCTGTCCGCTTGTCTCTTTCTCCACAGGAGCTTATAAATACATTGCTCTCTGTGGACGCGTCCAAAAGAATCACTGCAGCAGGAGCCCTGAAACATCCATGGATCGTCGTAAGTATATAAAATCATGAGTGCTACTTTTTTTCAAATTAACGTATGTCCGTTTCTTTTTGCTTGTTGCTGGAAAAGATGGCGACCCAGAATTTTTTTGAACATATTTATGGTCTCATTTTGTGTTAAAAAGAGAGTCTCAACCTGACACAAATAGTTGGGATATTACAAGCTCGAGTAGTCATCTACGATTGTCTAAGACTCTGGCTACGGCTGTAGTATAGCTTTGCATGGTCGCCCTTGTGTCTAGACATACACGGAGGTGAAAGTGCCAACGAACTCCATGCCACTTATGTTTGGTCTAGTCTCTGCGATTAGATCTTCAATGCTACAAGGTACTGAAAAAAAAGTATACATAACAATTGCGTCATTTTTTCAGAACCGTGAACGCGTTGCATCTAAAGTACACAGGCAAGAAACTCTTGACGGACTGAAGAAGTTTAATGCAAGAAGAAAGCTGAAGGTTAGTCCAGGATAAAAGATCTCGCTGTTATTATCTAGTGGTTACAGGTACTGTAAATTCTATATTCTTGGGCCTTTGCTTATATTCACTCAAACAGGCTTTTGAGAGTTACCAACATATTTCAGTTTGTAATGATGTATAATTCAGATTACATTGTCGGACTTCCGAATGATGTCTAACGCCAAGTCTGGGTTCAAGGTTGATGTTATGCAAGCCTTAGATTGACGAATTTGGTCTTTGAATTTGGTGTATTAGAAGTAGTTAAGCACGATTTTGTGGTGGGTGAAACTGGTCGCCCGAAAGTGATTTGGAACGAAACGGGTTGTAACAAGTGATTCAGTGTTCTAAGAAAGTATTACTTGTATGTAACATATCCTTTGAGAAGAAATAACGCATCGGCCGATATAGCAAAAAGATAGCGGGAGGGGATCTCGGTCTTGTTATTTCTGTAAAATGTGCAGTCCACTATTTCTTCTTGAATATCAGCAGCATTTCCACAGATTGCTGAGCAAACTAATCACAACTCCGAACATACAACTGTAACCGCTGTTAGGGCGGGAAAAACTACTTGTAGCGGGTGGCAATGGCAGGAAAAGTTGTATAGGCGACACCACTTTTCTTTGGCTTTTGTCTGATTGGTTGAAAATTCAGAAGTTAACTGTGATTGGTTTATTTTGCTTGCACATTTATGAATGATATTCTTTAAATATTGATGTAATATCCAGCTTAAAAATCTTTCAAAAAACAAAAACCGGTGCGGTGTTTGTTTTCAACAGGCAGTTAAATAATGGGAAAAACGTTTCAACATGATTGCCGTGTGTTTTTATTTATTTGAAACTATGTTCTTTTGCGTTACTCAGGTTTGTTTCGTGTTTCTTTAGGGTGCAATTCTCACCACAATCCTGGCTACAAGTAATTTTAATCTCTCTGCAGGTATAATTAATATTCTACTCTGTATTCATTCATATCACGATATTGTTGTCGTTTCAGGGTGCCATCTTAACCACCATCGTGGCGCGTAGGTTTTCTGCTAATTCAGGTAACCAAATAATCTCATAACACCCAAACTCGTTAAATATAAATCTTAAACGCTTTTGAGACAAATCGTTTCTTTTTTGGAGAAGTAATTCTTAATTAATGAGTACGCGTTTTGATTAAATGTTTTAAACCCGTTGTAATTTTGAAAAAGTTGAATNACTTGTAGCGGGTGGCAATGGCAGGAAAAGTTGTATAGGCGACACCACTTTTCTTTGGCTTTTGTCTGATTGGTTGAAAATTCAGAAGTTAACTGTGATTGGTTTATTTTGCTTGCACATTTATGAATGATATTCTTTAAATATTGATGTAATATCCAGCTTAAAAATCTTTCAAAAAACAAAAACCGGTGCGGTGTTTGTTTTCAACAGGCAGTTAAATAATGGGAAAAACGTTTCAACATGATTGCCGTGTGTTTTTATTTATTTGAAACTATGTTCTTTTGCGTTACTCAGGTTTGTTTCGTGTTTCTTTAGGGTGCAATTCTCACCACAATCCTGGCTACAAGTAATTTTAATCTCTCTGCAGGTATAATTAATATTCTACTCTGTATTCATTCATATCACGATATTGTTGTCGTTTCAGGGTGCCATCTTAACCACCATCGTGGCGCGTAGGTTTTCTGCTAATTCAGGTAACCAAATAATCTCATAACACCCAAACTCGTTAAATATAAATCTTAAACGCTTTTGAGACAAATCGTTTCTTTTTTGGAGAAGTAATTCTTAATTAATGAGTACGCGTTTTGATTAAATGTTTTAAACCCGTTGTAATTTTGAAAAAGTTGAATGTGACTTTGTTCTGGCCGTAAACATTCAAGTCACGATTAAATAATGAATTAATAATAAATAATGTAATAGAATATAACCGAGTTGTTTTCACCCCAATAACCTGACCACTTTAAAAGACCTGAAAGCATTAGCAATGAGCCAAAAGGTTTTGTTTATAATTCTAGTCATTTCCAAGTCTCCAATTGAGAAACAAAAGACATTCCCTCGTGGAGGATCACTGGTTACCCTGTGTTAGTATTGATCAGCACTGTTATCCGGCCTTGCAGGCTGTCGTGCATTTCTGTTTGCGACAGTTCTGTCGAGCAGTTAACATGTTCTGTTTCGTCTGACTTAAATTGAAATAAACTGCTAAACGGTCAACTGTAAATATGATAGCGCTTTCTTCGGTAAAAGACATTGTTGATCCATTGACAGTTCTGTGACTTTCGTTTGTGCCTTGATCATAAACCCATGTCAAATAAAGAGTCTATAAGCGGCTTTCGCTCGCAAGGATATAGTAACAAATGATAACTACTGATAGAAACACCATTTTGGTGATAACGTCTGCTCTGAACTCTGAAGGTAATGCTTCGTCTGCGCCATCTTTATTAAACGTCTACTTAGAAATCGTTATTACTAATTACCATGACTAAGAGATAAGCACTTCCTCTCTTTTTCTTCCTCGGTTGGTCCATAATTGCGTTGTTTTAGCTTCCTCATTGCGTTTTGAGTCAGTGCATGCACTAATCTATCTCGAAACAACAATGTCCTTCGCTTGGATAATGAAGGTTCTTCGAAAAGAGGGATTTTTTTCTCCGTTTGCAAAAAAATCCGTGTCCTCACGTTGAGTCATCGTTTAGGCCCGTCCAGATAAAAACAATGATGATAATGATAATGTTCAGAAATAATGTTGATGGCAGCATGCGCATTCGTTGGCACTCAACACCGTGACGTAAGCGTTTTCAAAAACCTCTGTTTTCATCCATCCCCTAAGAGGAAGAACGTTTTTGAAAAGATGAATTTTCACCGGATACGTGTGAACGGTGGGCAAAACTGGAGAAAAAAAATCTCTCGTTTTCAAACAAAAACGGATACGTGTTAACGGGGCCTAAGACGAGGTTGTCGTTTTGCTTGAAATTTTCTTTAATGGACGATATTTATTTGTCATTATTTAATTTATGATAGTGCGGCAAAATGGAAATTATTGGTGGAATGCTGGGTAGAATCCAATAATACTTCATCGGCAATAACTGCATGCGGAAACAAATTTGGTGGAACTCAGTGTTTCAGGTTGCTTTTTTTTCGGCATTTGGTTTTAGCGAAGAGAAATTCGGACTTGGAAATTTAAGTCTTGCTCAAAGTTAAAACCAGTTGTAATTAATTATTGTCGTAGGGGCAGTCGTCTCAGAACCCTCAGATAAGAATATAATTTGCGTTGCTACATGTACAGCACCAAGTAGCTAAGTATAAGGCGTAGTTAAAATACATATCTACTCTGCGCAGTCAACCGAACACTGTCTGTTTTCCTGAAGGGCTACATATGTATACGGCTGGAAACGTTGATCCCCTTTTTAGCGTGAGCGTTCATAAAGACTTATTTTGATTCGTTCTAAAGCATGTGTAAAGATAGGAAACCTCCACTCTTTCTAATGGTCGTTTTCTTTGTTTACAGTTCGGCCTTTTGTAAGCAAGAAAAAGGTAAGGGAGCTGGGTAGTCTGCTGCACAGCCGTTTTTAGTGTTGTCACACAACGCTCCTCGGGAACGTTGTGTTGCGTGACGACACTTAAGGTCTGGGAAACTCAAACGCATTATATTTCGTGAGGTACCTACATCATCGTAGCCGGTAACCATTTGGTGCTAGGCAATACACGTATAGTTAGTTGCATCATTAGAGAGGTTAAGCATCACGTTTACGTCAAACGGCAAACGCGAATTTGTACCACGTGACCAAGTTTCCCCTTTACTTGTCGTTTACTGTTCATTATTTCTACACATAAATTAGTAGTTTCACCCAATTTTTCATCCATAAAAATTGTTTTGAGCTATTTTTATCTGCTCATTTTCTGTTTTGAGAAATTCTGAACTTGAATCTGACGTTTGCCGTTTGCCGTATACGTGAAGTTTAAACTCACTGTTTTGTCTTCTGACGTTACTGAGGAAAGTAGTAAAATTACAAACTCCGCTGTTGAATTACCTTATATCTGATCGGCTGTTAATCAATTGCAACAGACTTTGGAAGGGTTTATGATTTTTGTTTGTTCGTTTTTTGTTTGTTAGTTTGCTTTTCTCAGCAGTGTTGATAAATGTTAAAATGAATATTTTTTAATCTGATCTACTATTCAGGGATCAGACGAAGAACTAATGGCGCATTCTGAAGATGAACACGAAGTTGATGCTGTAGCTGTTAAAGGTAAGCATTACTTCTAAAGAACAAGAGTAGACAGTAAACTCTCTTAAGCTCAAACCTTTTCATTCCACTGCGGTCGTGTTACATTGCTATTAGTCAATACAGACGAGTTTTCAATCAATCACTGTTGTCTATTCTACCGTATATTCATCGTTAATCGCCACTTATTTCAATCCAGTGTCTTTCCAAAGCAGGAACGGTTGTTATAAGAACGCTATAATGACGCTATAACGACGCTACATATGCGACGGCCTACGTGAACTGTGAGAGAAAAGGAGATGGCGATAAACGCCAAAGCTCTCTCTTTAAGTCAGTTTCCCCCCTCGTCCCTCCCCCACCCCCTCCTTCTCTAATCAAGTGCGCATGCGCTGTCAACTGAAGTAGACGTACTACAACGGTAAGGCGAAGACAAATTGATAATAGTTTCAATGGTTTTAATTGTAGTTTCATTTCCTTTAGCTCGAGAACAACAAATTATCCAGCTAACTCAAAAGCTGATTACAAGTATTACCACTGGAGACTTCGAAACTTACTGGTATTTATATCTGTCATCATAGGAATATTCGGAATCGCCTGCCATTCGAATAGGAAGCTAAGGACAGTTACAGACTTTTAATCTTAATTAAACTTCAATACAACCGCGTGTAGATTTGCACCAATATACGATGAAGCTTTGTCTTTGACCAAACCCGCGAAAGACCTCGGACCGTTTCAGAATCAGATTAGGGACTATTCAACTGAGAAAAAGTTTTATTTAAATTTATTGTGAAACCCCTTTGTTTGTTCATTTATATTATGTAGTACAAAGACAAGCGGTTCCTTCTTCAAGTGTTGTTAGAACCACTATCTTTCCCCCGAGAAAACTGTTTTGAATTTTAAGGCCTTCTATGTGATCAAGCGAGGTATTTAACTTCTATCGGCGCAAACCTTGGTTATTTTTACTACTTTCAGTAAACTAGTGGACTCACATTTAACAGCGTTTGAGCCAGAAGCTCGAGGTAATTTAGTTGAAGGTCTGGAGTTTCACAAGTTCTACTTTGACAACGGTAAGCAAGCACTCTAAATATTGCGCAGTAAAGCTTTCTTCTCTTGCTCCATTTGTCATTAAAAAGGATAGGTGCTTTAGTAAAACCAACAAGACATCTAAATGGTGGCTGAATGGTCATATCATCAAACTTCTATGAGACGGATTATTTAAGTTATGGTATATGTAAGTGCGTATCTTGATCGAGAAAGAAGGAAAAGCAGTTTAAGTCAAGTCGAATTAATGAGTAGTTCATTCAGAGACGACAGAGGGTCGCTTGATATTATATGGCAAATGTTTTTTGAGAGTTCTTTCAAGCTCCTGGGTGTAACGTTTTCCAATTAAATTTGATTGATTTGTTTGATATACGGAGAAAAGAAAAACTTATCATTGACATCATGAATTGCAAAAATAATAGCAATTCTTTAAATTGTATAACTGCTTAGTAAGTTGTTAGCAGGGTTTGATGGTACGAAAGCGCCGAAATACAATTACTGTTTGAAAGTAGACAGGTTACTCATCTTCAAACAAGATCGTAAGGAGGTGTGGTAGTTTCCTTGTCCGCTTCCCTTTGTGAATGTAGAATCGTGAATTAAAGTTGAGAATAATTAGAGCCTACAGTACGATCATTCCTCACGTTTGTCAGGTCTTAGTTTTCAGCAACCGGTCCTAACAACAGTGCGGCAAATTTCGTACTCGCGAACGTGGAAACTGTTATTTTCCTGGTGTGTCAGTTGAAATTGTTGACTCTTAAGTCCCGTCCACACGGAGTCCAGATATTTTTACACGAACCGACCTTCCAGTGAATCCGCTCGACGAAACTGCACCTTTTTGAAACCGCTCTTCAGAGAACTGAACTGTCCGGGTAAACAAAAAAATATTCGGTGTGGACTGGACCTGATAAATTGCACTTTACTAATTATTTTTTGTTGGTTTTGTTTTGTTTTGGTTTTTCTTTTTATATATATATATATATAGTTCACAGCAAAAGAGTGACCCCAATAAACACGACAATTTTGTCGCCGCACGTTCACATGCTAGGAGACGATGCTGCCTGCATCTGCTATGTCCGGCTTCAACAGTTTCTCAACAGGTAACGTAAATTTGCAAATAACCGGGGTTAGCCCATTTAAAATGCTTGCCTTGTGTTATCTTATGAGAGTTTTATTTGTAAAGCAGTATACTAGTAGTTTCTTTGGGCTGCGTCCACACCAATCCAGATGCTTTTGAAACGGCATTTTTTTTCTTTGGAATCTGCTCACCGAAACCCATCCAAAGGGGTTTAGGACCCCGGTTCGGTTTGTTGTTGTTGTTTTTTTTGGTTGTTTTGTTTTGTTTTTTCTTTTGTCTCCCTCTTTTTAGTAGGAATTTTACTTGCTTTCCTTATTGTCTATTCTACAGTTCCGGTGTACCATTAACACGCCAATCCGAAGAAACACGCGTGTGGCATAAGAAAGGAGGACACTGGGTAAACGTTCATTTTCATCGATCCAACATGACAAACAGCCCAGACAGCTAGAAAGATTTATGCACCACACGACAGTTTATCAATCGTCTCATTTGAAGGGAACAGTTTTCCTTGAAGAGGATCCGCCGCAATGGAACGAGACGGATTTACACGTAAACCGTCGGAAAGCATACAATGACGTTAATGGGTGCTGAAGAGAAGGAACTCAATAGCGAAAGGAAGATTTTTTATGTCACCTTCCCTACGGACAAAAACGTAATAGCTTAATTTCAAAATAAGACAATATAAAACCTCCAAAAAATTTATGCGCATCATAACTTAACGAGGTGCACGATTAGCAATTTAAATTATGTCCTTAAGACCTTAGGTTTTCAGAGTCACTCGGACGTCAGATTTATTTTTTGCCTTTGTACTGTGGACATGAAACTGCTGCGTGATAATTTTTAGGATATTTCCGTCAGTAGTCAACTCTTTAAAACAACAACCTGTGCACGCCCGTTAACGCATGCATGCAATTTTTCGAGTGATTTTGCAACTTTGATGCCGCCGTTAACGTAGGGTGCGTCTCGTCAACCAATCAGAAACACTACCCAAATCTTGGTAGTGAAACTTCATCATTATGGAATGTCTGCACTCGTTTCGCAGACGTCATTTCGCGGGGAAACCAGGGATAGCGTCGCGAAATATCGGCTGTTTTCTCAGGCCACAAGCACCATGGTTGTCCATGTTGGAGTTTCTTGTTTTCTTCCAGGTTCACGTGTTTCTTTATGCCGTTTTGAAAATGCGTAAAAAATGAAAATACTGAAGAAAAAAATGGTACCTTGCAGAAGTACTGCAGTGCGGAGGAGATTTTACATGAAATGGCCGCACCATTTCGTTTTCAGGCACAATAGTTGTTACCGTGTCAGTGTCTTTATGACTGATTTTTAATTGAAAGACATTTTTTGCACTGTTTTACGTTTTAAAGCTCAGTAGATTCTTGTTTTCTTTACGTTCACGATTAAATTCACGAGTTAGACCTCTTGTTAAATGAAAGGTCTTTTGTAATACACTTACAAGTCACGCGTGGGATTGCCAATTTTAAGGAAAAGGTATGGGAAAACGTCCGAGAATTTTATTAGAAAGTCAGGGATTTTATTTGGTGTCGACAAACGCTTTTGAAAAAATTACAAAATCAAGATAGCGAGAAAAAAAAAACATTTTTAATTCCTTGCAAAAGAAACTTAAAATGTGAAATGCAGGGTCAGGATAAATCGTGTAGAGACAAGGGAACGTAAGGACATCTAGCTTTCCAGTCTGTGAAGGCAATTTTGAATTACTTCGAGGTCTTGCGAAGTATTTTAATTCTGAGAATTTCTGCCAAATAAAGGGTAACGCTAAGGGTTTAAGTACTCGTAACATAGTTATTTTGATTTTTACGCTGCTAGAATATATATTTTACTGAGATGTATAAATTCTCTTCGCTTTATCATAGCAAGCCTAAGTACCATGGTTTTTTGTCTAATCCTCGCCGATGAGGATATTTAATAATTTATTTGGAATGCACATTATTACTCTAGGTTCTTGTAGGTATATTTTAAATTTGAAATATACATAGTCGTTGGTAGAATAATTTAGGGAAAATGCTTGAACATTATAGCAATGTAATATGCAAATACTTTAATTATGATAGGAATTTTTCAGATAGGAAAATACAAATATGTTTCAATTTTCAGTGCAGCTAGTGAATAATCAATGACGTATCTGTAAGAATGTATTAGGAATAGCAGGCTTTTAGAACTGTTTATTTTAAGCTTAACTTTAAGATGTAATAGTAGAAAGTGTTTAACTATAGCCAAAGGTTACAGTCCTTCCGAGAATGACGAATCGAAGTGCCCGGTAATAGAGGTATTTTGAGGACAGCGTCAATTAAAGCTTTGGAAATGTACGTAATTTTTNATATATTTTACTGAGATGTATAAATTCTCTTCGCTTTATCATAGCAAGCCTAAGTACCATGGTTTTTTGTCTAATCCTCGCCGATGAGGATATTTAATAATTTATTTGGAATGCACATTATTACTCTAGGTTCTTGTAGGTATATTTTAAATTTGAAATATACATAGTCGTTGGTAGAATAATTTAGGGAAAATGCTTGAACATTATAGCAATGTAATATGCAAATACTTTAATTACGATTGGAATTTTTCAGATAGGAAAATACAAATATGTTTCAATTTTCAGTGCAGCTAGTGAATAATCAATGACGTATCTGTAAGAATGTATTAGGAATAGCAGGCTTTTAGAACTGTTTATTTTAAGCTTAACTTTAAGATGTAATAGTAGAAAGTGTTTAACTATAGCCAAAGGTTACAGTCCTTCCGAGAATAACGAATCGAAGTGCCCGGTAATAGAGGTATTTTGAGGACAGCGTCAATTAAAGCTTTGGAAATGTACGTAATTTTTGTACTTGTGGATATCACCATTCATTTAAAATATTTCTCTGCGCCTTAATAGTATAAATTCCCCCGACTTATTATTTATAATCAGCTAGCGTTTACCAAACTTGGAAGATAATTGCCGATATCAATACGCTTGACGTCAATCATAGTTATATTCATTCGTTAGAAAAAAAGGGACGCACAGACGTGTCAGGCAAAGAAGCGGAGCGGCGTTTGGTAGTTAATAGACCGCGAGCAGCCTCCCTTTTTCTTCAGATTTAGTGAGGGGAGTTCACCCGCGCTAGCGTTGAGCGGTGAAGGCGCGAGAAACGAGGGGGGCAGCCCGAGAAGAGTCTTGCCTCTCCCGTCTCGCGCCCTCAGTCACGCGCGTGGTTATTTGCGTGTCTCAGGCGTTTTGCTCGACGGACAAAGAAAAAAGAGAGACTGCTCGTAGTCTAGGTAGTTAAGGGCTGGAAAAAATGGCGGAAGGTCCCGGGTCCCCATCTCCTGTCCTCCCTCACTGCTAAACCTCGTTCCCAATTTCTAAGGTCAAAAGTCTTGGGAGAGAGGTTGCTGTGTGCCGCAGAAAGGGGCCATTAATTGCCTGTGGTGCATGCGAATAAATCACTTGCTGATGGCTCATAGTCAGGTGGTATTCTTGGTTTGGGAAAAGCTCTTGTTCTTGTTATCCAACATGGCCGCCGTGACGTCAGCTATAAAAGAGGAACATGAGTTGGGTGACTTAGACTTACAAACAAAAAGGTTCGGCAAAATGATGCAAGTGTGGAGGGCAAACTGCTTTTCAAGTTTCCTGAATTTTACAAAATCGCTTTTCTTGAAGTAATCGTCAACTTACAAGTAATTCGTGGCTTGACTACACATGAGCAATTCGCAAAAATGTAATTATCATCTGAACTGCGGATCTTTTGAAGTTTTAACAACTCCGCCTTCATTTTTTAGCAAGCAAGTACTTGACAAGCTTGGCTAATGACATTTACAAGAATTTAGGAACATGCTAGATAATTAAAAATAGAAAGTGGCCAAGAAAGCACTGTTCTAGCGCGAGTGTGTACAAGATGTATAAGACAACGTGAAAACAGCAAAATCTAACGAGTTCTCTTTACGAAACTTGCGCACAATATAAGAGTGACACCGAAAGTATTAGGACGTGCCTTCAAATAGACCAATTAGAATGATATGTTAAAATTCAGGCTCCGTTGTCTTGGAGGAATAAAACAAAAGGACCCTTCCTGCTTTATTGTGTAAATCGTGTTGTTATGCTAACTAGTATTTTTAAAGCAAAATTTCCATTGGAAAAGGAAGGAGGTTTGTATCAAAACAAGGTCACCCTCAGCCTCACGTTCACTCAAAGGCTAGGACACTCAGCCTACAACTGTAAAATGGGCTATTCTCGAACCTCAGAGTGTGTATTGACCACTACAGGAAATACCATAACATACCATAATGCTCTTTGTTTGTCACGCCAAAATTTTACATAAGCATTGTTTTCAGGGCCATTTTAACTCCTAAGAATTGCAAAATTTGGGAGTGACAAACAAAGAGCATTATGGTATGTTAAGGTATTTTCTGTTGTGGCCGATACACGCTGGCTTTTTCTATCGGCTGACCTAGGAGGGAGAGTAAGCAAGAGATTGTAGAATCACTGAGCCACTGGCGACGATATTTGCAAACTAGCGCAGCAAACTAGCGACATTCCGCTCTAGCAGCAGCATGCATTGCTTGTGGAGAAACAGAGAGCACACCAGATTCGTAATAAGACATTCTTGTCAACTATTGCGAGGTAGGCGAAGTTTTACCAAACGATGACAAACACTGTTTTCACGTTTCCATCAAAATCCGTTACGAATGGGCACTTCTCTCTATCCTTGTTTTTGTTGTTGGGGGATGTAGCTAGTTGTTTCTGCTTAAAATAGATTCCGTCGACTATGCAGGATGATCATTATGTTTCATGATCCCTATACCTCACAGCACTACTGACCAGCGTGCCCAACCCAACCCTACCCACCCCACACTTTGCCCTCCCTTTTCTTTTCCACTTCTCAACGTTCTCGATGCTTAAGGTCCCTAAAGTCACATGTCCCACCCTTGGAGCTCATGCACGACGTAAATATTCCCGCCAAATGCCCAAGGGAGATAAGCACGCTTGGCATTAACTGACCCATAAAAGTCTCGGTTTTCAGTCACATGAGGATTCGTCTCTCGCCCCGTTTCAAGGCAGCTGCAGATAGGAAGCCTAGTCTCTTTCTAACAGCTAATTTAATATACCTGGATACTGTATTTTGTTTGCAGTTCGGCCGTTCGTTAGCAAAGAAAAGGTAAAGAATCTATTTTAATCTGTCGTTTATTGAGGTACTGAAATTAATTATGTGTTGTTATTTTATGTTATGGTTTGTTTTGGGCTGGCAACCCGGTAATCGCAACAGCGCAGCGCGAGGCTAATTTGTGCAGGACCGTACGGCAATCCTGCTCCCCACACAGCCTACGAAAGATAGACCACGATACCGGAAGTGTCTAATCTTTGCCCGTCGCGGGTCGCGGGTCGCGGGTCGTGGTTGATGACCCAATAATCACAGAGCTCAGTCTGCAATTTCTCTACAGTTGTCTCTATTGCTCCATTCAACCGTTTTTCCGGTGACGACCTGAGACCTAAACCAGTATTTAAGGGTTTTAGAAACAATTCTCGAAGGCCATACCCATAATGGTGGTTAACAATAGACATAACCAGGAGCAATAATCGGGGTAGGAGACCGAAAGCGTAGGGTCCACGCGGTTCCATCGAAACAGCCAGATGTGCTATTTTTTGAACAAACTGCTCCGCCCGCGACGTCACAAACTCGACTCCGTTTTGGTTTTTTTCCTTTGTGCGGCGCCCTTACAAAATATGCAGTTTGTGCTAAATATAATAGCAATATAATATATAATTTGGCTATTTCGATGGAACCAACGGCCATTACTGGAAAAGGCATCCAGTTGCGGTCTCCTACCCCGATTATGGCTCCTCACATAACTCCGTGATTTATGAAGGCCTAATCCAACTTTCATCATACTCCATATCTGATATGTAAAAATTCCTTTTAATCTACTCGACTAAATAAATCTGAGATTAGCCTGTGCCAGGCTCTCGGATAGTGGTTATAGGGAGGTTGTCAAAACAAGCCAAGCGAAAATAAGACGCCAGTTGCACATCACTATCTATGGAGCTCTGATATGGCTTGATATCTTGTTGTATCACGAAAAGTGGTGGACTGACTACTGCAGAAAAAAACAGTAGAGAGATTTAGAGTCACGTAAAACAGCAAAAGTCAGACTCAAGTTGTGAATTTCTCACAATAGAAAACGAACACATACGAACAGCTTAAAATAATTCTTATGGATAAAAATGTGGTGAATCTACTGATTTCTCGCTCCATGAAAGATAATCCGGATTCCGAACCAGGGAAATTTTTTGCTTGTGGAATCCTGAATCCAGGGATTTTGAATCCAAATACAGCTCAAGAGGAATCTCAAATCCCACTAACGATTGAAAACTAGAATCCAAGTTCCAGGCATTAACAAAAACTAGAATCCAGTACCTGGAATCAGGAATCCACGGTGGGGAATCCAGAACTGAAAGACGATCTTGTATTTCCCCAACTTGAGGCACGATTTCCGTGTAGATATCATAATTACCAGTAAACTACAAGAAGAGAGAAACTTTGGTCACGTGGTACAAATTCACGTTAGCTGTTTGCCGTAAACTTGACTCTGAATCTCCTGTAGTTCGAGGAGACTGGTTTTGAAAACCAGTAAACATCAAAGTTTAAAACAACGGTGCTTTAGTTTATGTTGGAAGCTCCCTGACCGTGCGCAATACTTTGTTTTTTGTTCACAAATTGAAACTGAATAAATTAATGCTCTGTTTCTATTGCTCAGCAAGTTCAAAATGATAGGAATGCTATTGAACGTTGTGCACGGTCAGGTCCCATAAAGCTAACAAAGACACATAACAACGGGTCGAATGGGTTTTATAACCATTCCGCTTAATAACTATGGTTTCAAGCGGCTTAATAATGTCGGGTACACCACGTCACAATTCCTAAAGTATTTCACTAATCTCTCAAAGCTCCGCACATTCATGTTAACAGTTTGATATTTAAAAATTTCCTAACTTTTTAGGGATCGGATGAAGAATTAATGGCTCCTGCTAAAAATGGGCATGAAGTTGATACAGAAGCTTTTAAAGGTTAGCATTTAATTATTACAAAGTGCAGGGAAACAGTAGCGATTTAGTTAACGGTGATCTTGGATTAAAAAAAAAAACGGGAAAAAATTGAAAGTTGGAAAAAGTGCAAGACTGGCCTAAGAGATCTATCCTTTCATTTGTCATGGTCCTTTGTGTTCCGGTTTTCAAATCCTAATCACCTTGCGCAACAGAATAATCAAGTGCAAGCGGCGAGGACAAAATGAAAGTACGAGCCTCATTGATAACAATAATTTTTCTTTCCTAATTTCTGTAGATCAAGAACAACAAATCATCCAACTGACTGAGAAGGTGATAAAAAGTGTCACCAGCGGAGATTTCCAAACCTACCGGTATTTATGACAGTCATTATTATTTAGTCGCAGGGGCAGCTTTGCTACCTGGGTGCCAATGAACAAGTGTAAAACTGAGACAAATTGACGGATCCACCTCACCAAACTGATAGAATTCAGAGATTTACTGAATTCACCCAAAGTACTCGTCCAAGGGCTTCTCCCTTAGAAAATGAGAAGGGCTGGAAAAAGCGGGAAAAGGCCCTGGCATCGGCTGGTCACGTGTCCCCTCCTACACCCTAAATTCCTGAGTGTAATAAGAGAGCAGTGGCTAATTCCTTGAGAAAGGTTGACTTTGCAAACCTCTATATGGAGCGGTAAAAATGACAATCACGCTAATAGTAACCCAATATTTACCCAGCAGCACTCTGCAGTACTGGAAAAGTTCACTTCGCAATTCTCGTTTTTTTCTGACTTTCTTGAGGGCAGATATACAATCGACTACCAATATGCAATCGCAACCTCGTGGCTTGACAGGGGTGGCTCGACATCCGAGCTGTTTCCCGTCAATAACTTAAGAACTCAAAAAAAGCGGAAGAATTAACGGTCAACCGAGGACGAAATAGCGGAAAACTATTCTGTACAAGTACGCAGAACTTTCAGTAACTGTTAAATATTTCAGTTCTTTGTAAGTGAAAGGGTAATGAAAAATTCCATTTTCTTATCGTGCATAGTCTGAGAGAAAGAAAGTTCCCCGCACAATAACCTGGAGAGTACTTCCAGAAAACTTGGGTGGGGGCGTGCGGCACGCTTCCTGAAACCCTTGCCCTATTTCAGACCAAAATCTGTGATTTTTCCTACCCTATTTCAGACCTGACCGTGAAATCAATACCCTATTTCAGACCTGCCTTATAATCATTTCCCTAGCTCCGACCAATGTTAAAGGAAATGTTTATACGCTGGATTAAGTAGAATGAAAAACTGTACAAAACTGTATTGTACTGTTGCGGCACGTAAGTGGTTTGCGTAAAATCGTCAGATCACCAAATGATGGAGAAGTAGCTTCTTCTATAAAAAAAAGCAATTCAAGACTAGAGGGCACAAACCATACATTATTTCAGACCGAAATGATCAAAATCCATACCCTATTACAGACCAAAACGGCTAAAAAACTATACCCTTTGGCGCCGCACTTACCTATACCCCCCCTCCCCTTCCCCCCGGCATAAATGTCAGCGGAAACATTATTTTTCCATAGACAAACTGTTTTAAATACCTCCAACTGAATTACCTTCAATTATAAAGTCTTTGAGCTGGGCAGTTAATTTCGAACTGTGCAAACCTAGTTATTTAATAATTACTTGCAGTAAACTAGTGGATCCACAAGTAACTGCATTTGAGCCTGTATCACGAGGCCAGTTGGTTGAAGGACTGCAGTTTCACAAGTTCTATTTTGACACCGGTAAGTGATCTTACTGCACGACTTACAGTAGGGCATTCTTTGTTCTGTTGCGCCATGATGTATCGTCAAGTAAAACTCGTCTGGCGGTCTCTTAAGATCACGGTAAGTGTTCTGCGCAAGTCGAACATTCTATCTCACTTTACCATTGTAGCCCCCTTCGTAATAGGAATTAGTCACGTTATCAGATAGATTACAAAATACCAATTATTACGTACTCAGAACTCTCTTCAGTCTTCCTAAGTCTATTAGTTATGAGCAGATCTTGTCGGTCTTAATATATTTTCACAGTGCTTGGTAAAAAAGCGACTCCTATAAACAGGACAATTCTGTCACCACGTGTCCACATGCTGGGAGACAAAGCTGCCTGTATTTGTTATGTTCGACTTCAGCAGTTCATCAACAGGTAACAGGGCACAAAGAATAGTGACTTGTATGCAGTTTTTAATAAAGGTCACGAGTTTGGTAACCTGGGGGCCCCCTGCAATTTTAGCAACTTTCAAGCACAATTAATCGAAAGGAGAGCCTGATCTTAGGGTAAGAACTTGTTCGTTTTCTTGTTTCAGCAGGTTTTCGTTGTTTCGTAGAATACCGGCAACTGTTCCTAAACTTTTAAATATTTCCTGTAAAAAAGGGGTTCGATCCTAGATTACCACGCGGTGTTTTTCTTTAAGGGTTTCTTTGCGCTTTGCCCGGCAAGACTAAGCAATCCCCTTTGGCCAAGTTATCCATGATTCCCTGCCAGAAAATCCTCGGCAACAAAACAATGGATTCACACCGTTCATTTTAAGTTGCTTTATTCAACTGGGGTCTGTTGAATACCTGTGAATGAGAGTTCTAACCAGCATTTTTAGATAATTTTATTTAAATGATAAAAACTCAAATCGAAACTTACTTACAAATGGCCGTGATGAGAATTTTACTTTTTACTCCCATGATCTTTATTTTCCTTATTGTCAATTTCATTTTTAGTGCTGGTGTACCATTAACACGTCAAACTGAAGAAACACGGGTGTGGCAGAAAAAATAAGGACAATGGGTCAACGTGCATTTACATCTATCCAACATGACGAACAGCCCAAGCAGCTAAAATGGTTAAATCACTACACCAACAGTTTGACGGGGTAATTTTTTCTTTGAAGAGTACGTGCGGCGGAGAATAAAATTTGAGATTAAATGGTATTTTAAAGAACAAATTGTGTTGCGCCGCGGGAACATGCATTTGTAAGGTGTTCGGAATAGCAGGCTTTCAGAGCTGTTTATTAAACTAATTAAACTTATCAAACTTAGTAGTTCCAACGTGTCATTCTGGCCCAGAGAAAAGCTAACTTTGTTAGCCGAAATATTAGCCCTAAATGTGATATATCGTTGTAAATTCTGAAAAAAACGGATTTTTTAATACTTTCCTCCCCCTTTCGCATACATTCTATTTTGAAACTCGCCCCAGTCCTCTCTCAAAAATCGGAGAAAATGCATTTGGTGCGCACTTTCTGCAGCTCTACCGCAAAAAACGAGTACGGTGGCCCCCAATCTTTATTTCATGATTTTATTAAGGACAGTGCTTCCTTTCGATGAGAAAAAAATTGGCACAAATCTATGTTCAGTTTTTTTGGCAATTTTACTAAATTGTACGGATTGAGCTATCACGGGTCGAAGAGCGCGTGTCCAATTTAATTCTACTTTGGAGCGTAAAGTAAAAACAAGGACATTAAAAGGCATTTTTCTGGTACGTAAGTGGATAAACAATACATTAAAGTCAAATTCTGAGCGATACCACATGCATCATCGAAAAAATCTCTCCTTTTTGTCTAGTTTTGGGCTGCCCGCGATTTTTGTAAAAGGGTCCTAAATAGCCGTATTTGTCAGCATTGTGACGGCAAAACGAGCACGGTGAACCCCACTTTTTATTACCTTTTTATCAACTTCTTGACTTGTTACATCAGTGTACCAAGTTTCATCTACAATCTATGTTAGGTTCTTTTACTAAGGAATCACCTTAAATGGGAGTTTAACCGCCAGTGATACTGCGATACTGCTGCAGAGCGCTAACTAACGGAGCTATCGAGCCAACAGACCAATTTCGATATATGAAAATTTATACTTAGCTGCGAGGCTTGGGGGAACAAAACAAAAGAAGTCGTCTTGTCGGGCTCAGCAATAAATAATACATTTCTTTTGTTTTATTCCCACAAGTTCGGAGCCAAGTATGAATTTTCATATATCGAAATTTGTCTACTGGGAGCTACTCCAGCATCAATGGATTTTGTTTCATACCCGTTAAGGCTGACTACCATGAAAGAATACATATACTTTAACTGCGTAAAGATACCATCAAAAACAAGAACCTCACATTGACTCAATGTCATTTCGCGTTCAAAACCTGCCACCCTACTGCACAAGCCATCAAAGCTGAGACATGGGGAACAAAGAGGACTGTTAAGAGATTTCATGTGCACTATATTGCACTGTAAAAATGCTTTCCTGATTCGCATATTGCTATGGACAAGCTGTCTCAGCTCCGAGTTAGCGTATCTATTAGAAAAAACTCATCAATAATTTTTTTTTCACGAATTACGACTAAACTCACGCTAGAATTTAACACTTCCAAAGTTTAGTTAAAACTTCACGTAGAGTAGCTAAGAGAACACTAAGACCAATCGACTGTTAGCCTGCTTAGATGGCGATATTGGTGATTTGGCGCCAGCAAAGTTTTACTGGTGGAGGTTATAAGGTGTTGAGGGTAGTTCAAACGCAAAAACATGAACAGAGACTTCAAGCGCTCGCTTATTTTTCGGCGGGGTAAACCCCAACAAGAACACGACCCCAGAACAAACTTCGTCACTAACATGGCTCAAACGGGCTCTATTTACCAAGGAACAAATGAAATAGATCCGAGCGGAAGGCAGGAGTCAAAGGAAGTAAGAGACAAACCTGCTTTGAATTACATTCGATTCTTTCTGCATTTCTCTAATAAAAACACAATCGAGAAATTTTTCCATGATATTATTACAACCGTTATGAGACGACCACGAGTGACGCGATTTAGATGCAAGTGAGAGCAAGCTGCTTGTCAAGATTCATTTCAGAGAAGCGTGTCTATTTGAGATAAAAAAATGTTACCAGTAATTAGTGGCTCAGTCAACCCTGGATAAAAATGAGCAATTTTCGAAATTATAATTACATTAATTTGTTCTCCAAGCACCTGAGCTCCACTGAGTCTTTTAGAGCTTGAAATCTCGGCCTTCACCCTTTCCTTTCTTAAGCGAGATAGCAAGGACAATTAGCTTGGTCGGTCACATTTGCAAGGAGAAAGGAATTTGCCACCAAGTAGAGCGAAATTGCCAAGAATACACTGTTCTAGCGCGAGTGTGACCAAGGGGTATAAGAGAGAAAATAGTAAATTAAATCTATTACAAGAGGGTCTCAATGGGGTTAACCGATAGGCGTAAAACGGCCAAAAATTTAGTCGATAGCCGTAAAAATTCAAAAATTTTAACCGTTAGCCGTAAATAGGGTAAAAAAGAGTTAACCGTAAAAGAAATTGTTACCTAGATTGGCTACTTTTAAGGAAGGTGCTAAACTTACTTATGGTTGCGTTTTTTACTTCCCGGCTAGTGTGACTCCGTACGCACGTTAGGCAAAGCACCTTTTAGGTGTTAACCAAGACCTAGGCACACACTAGAGCTAGAAATTGATCATCCGTCTGAGACTAGCCTGTGTACAGTCGCGCCGTCCCCACAGACACCCCTTCTCCGATTTTTCTGCGGGGGAGGGGGCGGCTGTACACAGGCTATCTGGAGCGGATAATCCCGTCTTCAAAAGTCAGGCAGATTGTTCATTCAAAGTTAAAACTATTCCATTTTCAGATTAAGACGTATTACCTATCTGACGCGAATCAACAAACTGATAACCAGTCTCACACGAATAATCCTTCTCTAGTGTGAAAACGGCCATTTCTGTTATAATGAATGTCGCGCCCCGGCCTTGAGTTGGGCGTTTGCGTGTCTGCTTTTGCTTTTTCACGAAGATTATTTTTAAATTGACTATTGACATTTCTATGTGTAAAATAAT